AACTTAACTCACTTTCAAATATTTTATCTAAGATTGAGCTTGAACATTATTATATTACTTTTTAATAAGTGGCTTTCTTCTATTGTCAATCAATTTCACAATAAACCATATTTATCTATATACCTTATCTTAACTCACTTTCAAATATTTTATCTAAGATTGAGCTTGTGCATTATTTTATTTTTTTTTCTCGAAACGACAGAGGTTGTATTACTAAAACTCAAAGAGAATAAGTGTACAGAGTACAAACCAACAAACCAACAACCGAAAATGAAAACTGAGAGGCACATACAGGATGGCCTAGAACCTCAACCAAGGAGATAAAATCAAAGAAACTAAAAGGAAACTAATTACCCGCCACTGCCACAAAGCCTAGCAAGATAATTAGTCTCCAAATCCAACAAAAACCAAGACAAAACAAACACCCAAACAAAAACCAAAGCAATAGAAACTATCTAAAGATGACCACCAGGTTGAGTGAATTCCAACCAGTCAGCTTGGGCTGCCAGAACCACTCTGTGTGGTGGCATAAGAGATTTTTGGAACACCCAAAGATTTCTTGACTTCCAGAGCCAGCAAAGCAAGTATGTGGAGAGTTGGATCCGTGCTTCAGCAACATCTGAGGAGCCAAGAGAGCAGATTTGTTGCCACCATCCTTTGAATGAATCAGTATTGCAAGTCTGAGGGTCCCATTGAACTGGAGAAAGCTCCCATAACCTGATAGATCTAGGACAAGAAAAGAACAGATGTTCTAGAGTCTCAGGAGCTGCTCCACAAATAGAACAGGTAGTATCAATGTCAATGCCCCTTTTAATGAGCTGAGTGGCTACAGGTAAGGTGCCAGAGATGCATTTCCACAAGAAGTGTTTGATTTTGTTCTGAATTTTGAGTTTCCAGCTTCTGAAAATTATAGCTTGCTTCTGAGGTGAGGAAGTGCTGCATTCAGGGATATCCAGCATAGAAAGTTTATTAGCAGCTAAGTGAGCATAAGTAGAAGCAACAGAGAACACTCCTTTTTGATGCAGACCCCACAAAAATCTGTCTTCTTTGTCTGGTTTAAGAGTCTTGATACTAAGGATGGCAGCACTATCATGATCAGAGAAAACTTTCTTAATAAGCCAAGAATTCCACTCCTTCCCATTATCTAACATAAGATCCTTCACCCAGATTAAATGATCCCTAGCCAGCTCCCTTAGATTAGGCACAGGTTTAGTAAGTGAGGGAATCCAATTAAAATCAGCAATTCTAGTAGTGGCTCCATTCCTTATTTCAATTTTAAGCCATTTTGAGAACAAAGGCATCATATCCATCCAAGAGTTCCATAACCAGGACCCATTAGAACATTTAACAGCATGAGCAATGAAGTGATTATGAAAGTACCTATCTTTAAGAACTTTACTTACCAGAAGTTGAGGGTTGGTAGCTATCCTCCACAATTGCTTACAAATGAGGGCCTGGTTAAAAAGTTTGAAGTCTAGAAACCCCAGTCCACCTTTCATTTTTGGAAGAGCAAGGAGAGTCCATTGTTTTCAGTGAATGCCTGAATGTTCATGGTTGCCTGATCTCCACCAAAACTCAGCACACAGTTTGGATAATTCAGAGCAAAGAGAGATGGGAATTTTGAAGCAAGACATAGAGAAAATGGGGAGGGCCTGAATCACTGCTTTGAGAAGAACCTCCTTTCCAGCAGGGCTTAGGAGGTTATACTTCCAGCTGTTCAGTTTCGACTTGACAGAAGTGAGGATGTAATCAAATACCTCCTTTTTTGACTTCCCAATTCCAAGGGGAAGTCCCAAATATCTGGTAGATCTGTGGGAAGTAATCCCATTGAGAGTTTGACAGATAGAAAGCTGGAGCTGCAAAGGTGTATTCTTGCTAAAAAAGGCTGCAGATTTCTGTAAGTTGACTTGTTGGCCTGAAAATAATCTGTATTGCTCCAACAAATTCAGAAGAAAGGAAGCTTGATCCACCCCAGCCTTGCAAAAAAATAAGGAGTCGTCTGCAAATAGCAAATGTGACAGAACAAGGCCATTCTTGGATAATTTAAGCCCTTGCAGATGTCCTTTATTGCATGCATCAGAGATTAAAGCAGATAAGAGTTCAGCCACAATAATGAAAAGGTAGGGGGATAAAGGATCCCCCTGCCTAATTCCCCTTGAAGGAGTAACATACCCACTGACCACTCCATTAACTTTGAAAGAAAAGGTAGCAGAGGAGACACACACCATAATAAGCTTGACAAAATCCTAGTGAAATCCCATTTGCAGCATGATTTTTTTAAGACAAATCCACTCAACTCTATCAAATGCCTTAACTAGGTCAAGTTTGAGTGCCATAAAGTAATTTTTACCAGAGGAGTGCCTGTTTAAGTGATGGAATGCCTCTTGTGCAATTATAACATTGTCTAAAAGTTGTCTCCCCTGAATGAATGCTGATTGGTGTTCACTGATGCACTGAGTTAAGCATAGCTTCAGTCTTTGTGCAAGAATTTTAGATAGAACTTTGTAAACCACACTGCATAAGCTAATAGGCCTAAACTGAGATAGAGTTTCTGGGTTGTGACACGTAGGAATAATAGATAAAATGTTGTGATTCCAGTAGGAAAGCATCATACCAGATTGAAAGAAACTAAGAATAGCTGCCACAAGATCATCCTTGATTATAGTCCAAAAGTGCTGATAGAAGAGAGCACTCATACCTTCTTCCCCAGGAGCTTTTTCAGGATGCAAGCTGAATAGGGAGCTTTTGATTTCTTCCTCTTCCACTGGCTTAAGGAGAACAGCATTTAGCTCAGATGTGATTGTGGTAGGAATGAGAGGGAGCAGAGCATCCCCACCCCAGCTCCCTTCAGAAGAGAAAAGGTTTTTGTAGAATTCAGCTATGTGAGATGCAATATCTTCCTGATTTGTAACTGCTTGGCCTCTGGATGTAAGAAGTCTAGTGATAGCATTGAATCTCGTTCTTTGCAAAGTGAGGGTGTGGAAAAACCTGGTGTTGGAGTCACCTTCCTTCAACCATTTCAGCCTTGCCTTCTGTTGCCAGAACATTTCTTCCTGCCTGTGAGCTTTCTCTAGGTCTCTTCTTGTGTTTTCCCAGCTTTCCCATTGGCTACCTGATTTGTCTTGGTTTAGCATTTGCAGCTTGTTGGTTAACTGGGATATGAGAGCTTGGTTCTGAGTCTGGAATTTGGAGCTCCAGATGAGAAGTGTTGTTCTGACATGTTTGATCTTCTCTTTGAGTTGATAAAAGGGAGTTCCAGAGACTTTTGTCCTCCAAGCATGTTGAATAGTTTCCTCAAAGCCTTCCTTGCCTATCCACCTTTTATCAAAGTGGAATCTTGATTTTTTCCTTTCCCTTGGTAAGCCAAAATCAAAGAGCAGAGGGGTGTGGTCTGAGGCACTTCTAACAAGATTAGAGATGGAGGCATTGGGGAAGATTTGAAACCAGTCAGGGGAGACAAAAGCTCTATCCAGGTATTCTTCCACAAGATCTTGATCAGCTCTGTTGTTGCACCAAGTGTATGGGTACCCCACCAACTGGATTTCCTCCATCTCCATATCATTAATGAAACCATTTAAGGGTTGGCAGCTGAGAGGGCTTCTTGTAATTCCACCTGATTTTTCAGAATTTGCCCTTATGTCGTTCCATTCCCCAATGGCAAACCATAGATTTCCCCAAGATGGTTTATCTTCAATAAATTCCTGCCACTGGTCATATCTTATAGATTTGCAAGCATTGAAATACACAAAAATCCCCCATTGAGGAGCCTGGGAGTTAATTTGAAATTGAACAGCAATGTAAAAAGATTTACAGATACAATTCATAATCTGAACCTTAGGATCCCAACACAAAAGCAGACCTCCACTAAGGCCTAAGGGATCAACCATAGACATCCTATTAGAAAAACCCAACTTCCTACCTACAGACTTAACAAAAGCACATTGTTTTTTGGTATCTGAAAGAAAAAGAAAAAGGGGATGGTGAGCTCTTAATAGCTCTCGGATTTGGGAAATTGTAGAGGGCCCACTCAGCCCTCTACAATTCCACACCACAGCTAGCATTGGTCACTGGGGTGCCACTCAAGGCTGGCAACCCCCACCTCTTCAGAAATAGTTTTGAGTTTTTTAGAAGAACCTTTATTGTTGACATCAGCCTCCTCTGCTTGTTCAATTGGTTCTTGTCTCTGTCTGGTCCTTTTGCCTTTTATCAACTGGTTGATGATCTGTGAAGGTTCAGAGGCTCTTTGCAGCCTACCCATATTGCTGCCAGTTCTTTTCCAGGTTTTAAGTACTGGGGATGATGGAGTTGGGACCTCCAGAGAAGGCAGCAACATTTGAGAATTAGAAGTTTGTTCCTTCTCAATTTCCATTATAGATGACTCCACCATTTGTAGTGGAGAGTCTTCATCATTCCCGGTATTTGATGTTTGATGATTGGCTGAGAATTGAGAAGTGGTGCCCTTAGATTTAGCAGGTGAGAAAGTTCCTTCCTGGCTGGGTATTAACTGGTTGCTCAGACTCCTTTGATTAGAAGGTGTTGTATGGGGATGAACTTGATCAAACTCTGTTGGAGGTGGAGATTCTGGTGGTGGTGAAGTTCTTGAGCCAGAAAGACTGACTGGGCCCCATTTGTAACCTTCAGCTGCTTTCATCCAATCCCCATATTGGCCCTCTTTGAGGACTTTGTTTTTGACATCTTCCATCTTTTTCTTGCAGCCTCTATCCAAGTGCCCTATCATCCCACAATAATGGCACAGGTTCATAAGCTTCTCATACTTGAAACTTACAGTGACTATTTGCTCTCCCAGTCTGACTTTTGCTATTCTCGGCAGTGGCTCATCTACATCCAACGTGACCAGAAGCCTCAGAATCTTGCCTCCATGGTTGCCTGTCGTAGCTATGACTACATTTTTGAGCTCTTTATATGCCTGCCCTATCTTTAATCCAACTTCTGTACTCAGCCAGTTTAGTGGAATGTCCTGGACTTGAACCCACAGGTCAAGTTCCTTGAAGCTGGGATGATTGCTGCTAATATTTGTTGTCCATTCTTTGAGAATTATGTATTGATTCTCAAAGCTCCAGTTTGTGCCATAAGATACCTTCTTCATGTCCTCCCTACTCTGAAATATGAACTGAAAGTAGTTGGGACACAATTCCTTAACCTCCATAGGATGATTAAACTTCCATATCTGAGACATAGTTCTTTTGACCCCTATCCAGCTCGCCGGCCTATCTCCAATGACCTTGCCAAAAAGACTCCTCTGGCACTCATCATCACTTATTTTGATATCGTCTTGGGCAATGTCGTAGACAATGCCTTCTCTTTCAGATAGAGAGAAGATCTTGAGTCGATCGGAGAGTTCATCATCGCACGCTGAGGATTGGGTTCGGTCCATGAGAATCAAAACCAGAGAAACCCTAGATCGATTGACAAAGGGAAACGGGAAAAAAAGGTCGAAAGGGGAGGGGAAAAGCGAGAATACCACAACGGATGAAAAGGGAATGAAGGAGGGTGAAGAAGTTGGGTAATGAACGGAGAAAATGACCGGAAAATCGAAGCTCTCAGAGAGAGAATCGGGGCTCTCAGAGAGAGAATTTTCTTCTTTTACTTTTTAAGGTTTTATATTTTTTTTTAATAAGTGACTTTCTTCTATTGTCAATCAATTTCACAATAAAC